TTTAAAAGTAAAAAATGGCCAAGATAAGAAATTTTTGACACTGAACTTGTGTTAATTATAGTTTCAACTTCAATTTTGAAAATTGCAATAATAGGTATTACTGATTTATATTCAATAATTCACAGAGCGTGAACACCCGTATGGAATGTACAAATTATCGACTTTTTGATTGAAGTTCCGCTTGAATATTCAGGTAGTTGTATCCCTCGAAATCTGCAGTTATCTTGATATCTATCCCGGCATAGACCGTTCAACATTGCACTGTTTAATTAGCACTAAGTAGTCATAGTCATTATCATACCTCTGAGTATTTGAGATATTGCATATAATTAGTACTACAAATATATTTTCATGTGGTATGTGTAATTGAGTTTAATACCCCAAGTATCTAGCCCAGTGCCAGGTTCAGAGTCCTCACCTGTCTAGCATGCCCCTAAAACAACTTGGCTGAATCTACCACTACCAAAAAGATACGATTATAATTCAACAATATACAATCAAATTGTGTGCTAACATGCAAAATGGACTCTGCACAGTTTGTGCACTGCCTTTTCATTTCATACTGGGTGAACATTATCGTGAGGATGGCAAATTCACAACCAACGTGTCCTCTTTCACTACTTTCCTTTGAATTGTCTCGTTTCATAAGCTAACATACTTAGTAGTTCATGCTTACATTTTAACCGGGGCATACAAAGGTCCATTTTGCTTTATAGCGGTGCAATAGGGTTAGTACCCTAGGGGGGAGGGCCGATGGCCTTGTGTTGTGTGTGAAAAAATGTCAGCAAGGTAAAAATCATCATTCCTCAGTAGCATAACCCCTAAGAGCTGTGCCCGGCAAGAGCCAGGGGGTGTGCCTCGTCAAGGAAGGTCCCTGGGCTAATCTTTATGTAGCATTTGGAAAGCTCTCCCTGTTGACACTCTGAACAGTAGATCAAAGGGGCCTTTCATGGGGAGCACTGACACTTCATTCTACCCATAATTAAGATTCTTGGGAATGAGTACACCATATGTCCCTAGTGTGTAAATATCAATGTTTGCACTTTTATGAAATAAATGGAAAGAGCTATTTTTGCAGGTTATTCTTGACCCAAAAAGATTGATTATATCATCAGTTTTATATAACTTCTTAAAAACAATACTTTACTCTAAATCATTGAACTTAAAATCTAACTTAACCCAGAAATAGTTAAATACTTTGCATTCTATGGAATACATGGCTCATCTGTAACTTTACATATGCAATGAGTAAAATTAATATCGTATGTCATGTAATCTTCAAAAATATGAAGGGGCCTTAGAACTCTTCTGCCAACTAAAGAAACGCATTAAAGGGATGGCTTAGTCCACTACACCCTATGATAACTGCATGTTACTAACTAACATGACATTATTCATAAAGTTTGTATCCCACTATGTGTTCTTTTATGTCTTGCTGAAATACTTGAATATTTGAATTCTGCACAGACATGATATGACTTGGGCTGATTCTATTATGTGTTCTTTTTATGTGACAATAACTTGTTTAATCGTGAATATTGTTTGTTACAAACCTTATTCTTATTGTCAAACTCGCATACTGTAGTTTTTCAACAGTGTGCTCACTTGTCATTCATGGGTGTGAGAATTTTCTTAACAAGCTTCATATACACGATATGCTTGGCTGTATCATGATTTGTTGAAGCTGTATGTTGTTTAAATAAATTTTCCCATGTTGGTCAATGTTTGCCAGAATCATAATATTTTTTCACAAAGTCAGCATGGCATTCTCACATTAATAAAGTTTGTGAGTGTGGTGGTATCTTTAGTCCATTAAACCCCCCTCCCCTTGCTATACACACCTGCCTATAAGACATTATAATTTGAAAATGGAAACAATATAGTTCCACTATTCAGTTATAGCATTTTATTTCTTATTATTTATATGATAAGCTAAGTAAAGTAAAGCATACCAAGTTATGAAGCATCAAACGACTTTAACAACTTAGAACCAGACATTAGAAACGCTGACTCGTTATACAAGTTTAAAGCTGTATTAAAAGAACGCTATGTAGGCGAGAATTACATAGTAAACATAGCCTTAGTTCCATAACGTTTTGTATATAGGCTATATATAGTATAAGTATGTCAACGCATGTTATTGTATATTTGCATGTTATTTTGTAATATATATGTATTGAAGTTGAAATTTATAATGCAGGACCCCACTGAAAAACACTTCGGTGATGTGGGTATCCTGCACAAATTTAAATATAATAATAATGATAAAATATCGTCTGACAGATTAGCTTTCTAAAACTGCTAATAAAATGTTGTCAATTTATAATGCATTGTGACCACATTGGCATGTATCGTCCTGCTCAAATAAATTAAATAATATCATCTTGATCATGCAAAGTAGTATTTAATTGTAGGCTCATAGCTTGCCAACTTGAGCAAAATACTCTAAATTTCATTGTTAAATAAACAACTCAGTCACAACCATCACTCACTCATGCAGTATACATCAACTTTAAAAGTATGTTAAATTATGTTAGAGAAAAATTCTGTTAGAAAATATTTTTTTCAGATAAATTGTAACATATCTGACATTTCACAATATATAAGTTCTACCAACCAAAAAACCGTCAAAAACAGTAGAAAATATGGAATATAAACTGCATTAAACTGCACTCCTTAGCTTGGCGCCATATTCAATTAACAGCCGCATCGATGAAGGGCTAGGGACAAGGTGCTCTACCGTATCTGAAATAGCCTTCACCGACTTCATTGTACCCAGAACAAAACAAACAATGGCCTGGGTACAAGTATCTACATATCTACAGCCTGTTCGCAGGCAAACAAGAAAAAACCATCACCTGAAAGTAGACATTTCTGTGGCCTTTGTATATCCATTAACTGACTACCATTACAGGGCCATATTTACCCATCATGGTCTCTTTGTATCCATTTAGTATAACCACAAATATCCATTACTGACCATAACATTCGATCCTTTCATTTCGTCTCAAGCATCCAATTTCATCATCGTCTTTGTCATTTGGTACATTTTCTTCAAATTCATGGCTTTGTGATCTTACTGTCTTTGATGTATTGTCATTGTTGGAAAATAAAGATATTTCCCCATGTATATTGCTCCTTGAAGTGCCTTATCTTGGTAACATGACATTTTATAAATTACTATTCCATCACCATGTTCAGTAATGATCTGTAAAACAAAGCAAAACAATCATTAATTCAGATATAAAATTTAAACCATTTTGTTGTGCTGTACCATGAAGCATACTCTACTCAGTTTTTTACTGTCCAACGCAAGACGATTTTATGCTTCATAACGAGACTGCCCATGCTTCTAATTACTCACTAACTGCAGTGCTCCCCCTGATTAATAAAATTGTCTGACGTTAGACAGAGTTGGTAAAGTATGTAAATTACGGTGAAAATCAACTTAATGACTAACAGTGCTGTTCACATGATCACAGTTTGTCAGGACAGGATAAAAGGTGGGATGATTTTCATCTACTGAAATAAGTCACTAGGCTTGAACAAAAAGTTCAAAGACGGTTTTAAAAGAACTGAAACTATGTTGTGTACATGATCTCATAGTTAAGATTATTATTCTTGCTGCTTGATTCAACCACTTTTTCCTACAATTATAATAAGTCTATAACTAGAAAATAATGTGAACCATCTGATAATTGTCAACTCAGAGATCCCAAGGATAGTGCAAAGTTGATATGACAACTGACCAGAAAGCACTATAAGGGGTGTGCACACTATAAGGGGTCTATATATAGGCCCCACATCCACCCTTTATCGTGCATGGTCTGTATTATTATACTTTTATAGTCTGTATATACTACAGAATTTTAATTGATTACTTTAGTATGCTGTTTACATTTCCAGAAATATAATTTTCTCACACATACTAATGGAACATAAGTACTAGACATTTTTTATCTGATATACAAACACAAGCCGAAGGCGAGATGCGAATGTTTTATCGCAATTATAAAACAACCGATCTTATGAGTTCATTGGCGAAGTAATTTAAAAATAAACATGCATTGTCTAAGGCGAGAAAATCAAAGCTGAAGTTTATGTTAATCAGGACAAATCTTTATGCGATTTACAAACATTGATTAAACATTTGTTTCCTCATGAATTATTAATGAATTTTATAATGACAAATAGCATACAGAGTCAGTATAAACTATAGTGTAGACTGCAGAAAATGTATAAAAGGCAGAATGTATATAAAGCTGCTTACTGAAATTGCAGACTTGGCATATATAATATGCAGACTATATTGAATAAACATGACTATATCGATCATTAGAAAATATAATGCATGAGCCTTCAATTTCCTTAATTTAAAATCAATTGCCCAATTTAAAAATCAAATATGTTCATGCTAAAACAGCACATCAGAGGCAGCACATACAGTGCTCAGATCTCTAGAACAAATCACAATCGCTAAAATATTTGTGTTGCGTGATTGAAATGTATAAGCTTTGCAGCGCTAATTATAGAACTACATTTAACTACTTTGTGTACTACATTGGCATTTTGACAGTGTATAGAGTTTGATCAGATGTTTACGCATATGCTTGGGTTGAATGGCTTAATATTCAAGACAAAATAACAATAACTAAGTACGTCTTATATAATAATTTAATCAGGTTTTGTTATAAATGCAGTAAGATTCGCCTGTTGTCAGAGCCTGTGTCTGTGATCATGACATTAACTACCATCGTTATTTAATATAAACATTAAAGAATTAAGAACCATAGTCTCTTTTTGCATGCCTGTGCTCCAGAGTAAAATTTTACAGTTACAACAAAATGGCAATATAAGATGCAAGTTGTTTATACTTATACAACCCTTATAGGTAGTATACGGTATTGAGTTATTTTTAATAAAATGTGTAAGCTAATTTATATTAAAACTATCATGACCACACTCCACAGGCACTTTTTTATATTCTGTATCACTCTGTTTCTTTGTTAGATAATATAAGCACAAAAACAAGGTTAAAAGTGACTGCATCTTTGACTTTGATAGTAATGATAGACCCGTTCTATACACAACATTGTACTGCAACTCCTCCGACACCACCATATTAAAATTGGCGCAGTGCAGAGCAAGTGTGTTGTTTCATTTGATTTTGTTGCACTGAGGGCGAGAAAGTACCTACACATATTAGCCATTCATATCTTAAAATTGATATTTAATTTATGATTGTTCCTCTAAATGCTAGATAATGTAAATCAGAAAAACATCTGTCGTTGTGAATAAAAATATAAAATCTTATTTGAAAATTTTTTAATATATATGCTGGCTGAACGTTGCAAAGCTACGAAAATAATTTGCAAGCACTCCCCCCGGATTGAATTGTTTACACTATACATCCATCCATCGATCCATTGTTGAGTCACGTAATGACGTAATGCCTTGCACCCCATCACAATAGTACAAACTTGACTTCGTCAACTTTGCACTAAAAACTGTTCTTTTAAAGGTGATCTACAGTCCGATCTGCGCATGTGCACAAATGAGCCCACTTTTTATGATACAAACAGTTTAACTATGTTTTGAGTTTTTGAAAAGCCTGATTGTTGTTTCTTGATCATTTATTATACTCTAGAAGCTTGAAAATATAAATAATTGTCGAATAAAGCTCAATATTTTGGACACAAAAATGTAAACAATATACGGACTGTAGATCACCTTTAATTATAACAATTACTTTGAAGTTTTTTCTGTGTTGATGTTGTGTACTCAGGTGAATATGATGTTTGTGATGTTACTCTGAGTGTATATCCACACTGGGCAACCTTGAAAAATATGCCTGGCCAAGGTGGTAATCGGACCTACCACCTTCGGAATACCAGCCCCTCAGGTGACCAGATATAGCTCAGCAGGGCCGCCGCAAGGTTGGCGGGGGCCCAGGGCAAATTTTTTCCGGAGAACCTCCCCCCCCCGGCAAAAAAATTTTCGGTCAGTGTACCATTTAGGGGTCAAAAATTTTTTCCGGAGTACAAAATTTTTCCGGACGAGTACGTTACAATTGCTTTCGAGGGACTTTATCTCATTTTTTCATGCCAAAATTCGGTACTTAGCCCAAAAAACAAAAACAGATCTCTTGTCCTTTGCGCGGAAATATTTAACACACAAAAAAGGCTGGGGGCCCAACAAAAATTTTTCAGGGGCCCCCAGCAACTCGGGGCCCGGGGCAATTTGCCCCCCCCCCCCCCCTCTGAGGCCCTGTAGCTCAGTTGGCACAGCATTGGGCTGGTATTCTTGTAGGTCCGATCCCCACGGTGACCAAGCATATTTTTCCACCTTTTAACTAGGCTGTTGCAGTATATCGATATACTAATAATTATCTTTTTTTTATAAATACTGATTACTCGATATTGAAATTTTCGATATATCGAAATATTGATATTTTTTGCTATTATCGATATCATGTTTACGTTTGTATATTTAAAAGTCATCTCAAGCTTTTTCAAGCGCTGATTGGAGTTATTTCAGAAGGACAAAGACGATCAATGTGTTAACTCCACGGTAAAATCCGTAAATTAAGGTTAGAGCGAGATCTAAAACGTGTGTTTCTTTATACGTTGTTGGATTACAAATGTTTTAGAAAAACAAAGACTAACCTCATTGGACATTGTTTGTCTGGTGAGATACTAGGACGACCTTTGTTTCAAATTCGCAGTTGAATAAAATGTTTTGAAACAATTTCCCGGTCAAAAATATCATGCATGATTCATCCGGTGCGATAATCAATGCTAATAAGTAATATGCATTTTCAATTCTTAAAGCGGACATTTCACAGACTACTGATCACTGGCCTCACACTTTATTGAAAATATCACACACCCGATGAGTCAAAGCTGCATGTTATATCATGGCTGTTTGGCATCATTTGAAAACAGAAACTTTTGCATAAAATTAAGCAAATTTTGCATAAAATTAAGCAAAATACAATTGCAAAAAAATATCGATATATTTCGGGTTTTTTCAAATACCGCAACAGCCTACTTTTAACCCATTAAGCGCCAGCGCTCTCCCCTTGACGAGTAAAGTCGTCTGGCATTAGACAGAGTAAAATAATAAAGTAGGGTGCATAAGGGCACAATGTGACTCAATAGGTTAATCAAACAAAACGATTACATTCAATGTGATAAAAACACGAGTTGAAAAAGTTGGTCATTTGCAAACAGTAAACAGAGGCTAACCAAAGGCAGTCACAGGAAATTTTTGAAAGTGCACCAAGCTATTTCAAACTTTCCAAGAATTGTTCAAAACTGTTCTTTTAATCAAAACAATTACTTTAGCATGATAAAAATATGAATTGGAATATTTTGGGCAGAGGCAATCCTATGCTAATCAAAGCGGAGACCACAGGATATTTTTGAAAACATGTAAAAGTGCCCCAGCCTACTCTAAACTTTCTGAAAATTGTCCAAACCATTATTTTAATCGAAACAATTTCAAGTGATAAAAACATCAATTGAAAAATGTTGTTCATTTGCAAACAACAGCGCACATGATTTTTTAGAACTGACCTTTCAAGTAGTTCCTCTGCAAATCAAACTGAACTAACACATGTCAACATGACTGCATAATCTCAGAGAAAAATTTCCAACGATACATTCAATTGCCTTGTACACATTGCTGGTGTATAGTTTCTTTGGTAAGCCATAGAGTTGAATTGCTGTTCTCTAAGAAAAATAAGATTAACTCATTAAGCTGCAAAGTAACCAAATGTCTGATGCCAGATCATTTTACTCAAATTAAGAGAAAAGTGGCAATGTATCTTGTTAACACATTGAACTGCAATGCAACAAAATGTGCCCTACTTTTTAATTTCCCCTGTCTAATGCCAGATGATTTTACTCATCAAAAGGACAGTGTTACTTAACCAAACAATGGATTTTGTTTAAATTTTAAAACCAATTCAAAATCTCAATATTATAGAGCCCTGAATATTTTAACAAAATACAAAACAAGTATAACTCCAATGGTTGATAACATTTTTATGTTTATACAATGTATAACCCAACTAGTTTATCCAGATGACATCTGAAATATAGTCGAAATGAAAATAAATATAAAAATGTTATCAACCTTTGGAGTCAAGCCCTGATCAAAGGAGAACACAAGTCATCGCAAGTAAACTTGTTCCAACTTGCCCTGAATTGCGATGCAACTTGCCCTGAATTGCGATGGGAACGATCAAACAATAAGCAAGTTTTTGCAAAAATTTGGTCTGTGTGCACCTGCACATGTCTTACCCAGGGTGTTTCCCCTGAAAGGAGAAAGATCCTGCTCCAGGGAAGGACCCTTTACCCAGGGTCCTTACCATTTGGGGAGAAAAGTCACTTGTCGGTACAAGGTCGCACATAATTTTGCAAAGTTGCATAAATGTAAACAAAACATGGCTGTTGCTTAACCTATTTAAAAAGGAGTGCAAATCAAGACATATCAGACAAGTCTACCAACTAATAAGTTTTTAAATTAACTTTTCATAACATAATCATTGTTTCAAAAGAAAGAAAATTTCCTTGACTATCTGCAACAATTTTTGCATTTTTCACACAAAAGCAAGAAACCCAGCAGCATTATAAACTAAGCACTAAAACTTATTGTTATATAGTTAGTGTCAAAGTTCAATTTATCTATTTGTTTGCCGATTGGTCACATTATTGGTCACACATTATTGGTCAGCAATCGTTCCACAATCAAACATTTATTGACCATCAATAATAAAATGGGTGCAATATGCATGTGTGTCAATCGTGAAGTTCCAAAGTTCACTTTTTTTTTAACCTTTTACTAAACATTTACAGTGTTCTATTTACCCAGTGTTTGTTTCAAATTAAGTTCACTGCAATAACCGGGCAATTATTCATACCCTCGGTCTCGGAAAATAAGTTATAATTATTATATACCAATAGTCAAAGTCACATTTTTCTAGTGTTTTATTGGTTGAGAGCATATCACATGAGTGTGACGAAATTTGGCTGTCTCCCTCAGGCGAGAGGAAAACAATATGTTATCAACTGGCAAATGGGGAGAGATTTTCCGGAATTCCGATGGTTAGAAAACGACATTCTAACATATCAGAGACCCTGCCAATGTTATTGCCCGCATTTCTCCCATTGGGGTTGGGGGCCCCCAGGGTTCGCCCAGTCCAAACCCATAGTAGTTATGCCACTGTCCCAAGTATTCTGTTAAAACACACACTGTGAATGTTTTAAATTGCCTCAAAAACGATTGATCTAGTAAGTTCATTGGTAAAGTAACTTTCAAGAAATATATTGTGTAAGTTGAGAAAATCAAAGTTAAAGTTTATGTTAATCAAAGTAAATCTCTCTCACATATAAAGATATGACATGCTTACGATTTTTCTTTGTGTTTGCCTCATGAATTATCAATGAGTTTTTGAAATTACTTTTATTTGTCTTTTACCAGATACAGGTAAACATGTTTTTTAGACAATCGTCAAATATATTTTTTGCCGATCAAGATGAACAGCAACATTGCTTCCTCGCTGATCGAAAACAATTTCCTGTTGATCATTAATCGGCATTATTTCGAGCCCTGAACTACAATGTACCCAAATGAGCCTTTTTATTTTACTCTGTCTAGTACCAGATTTTACCCTGGTCCACCGCCTGCGTCTTTTCTCTGTAAAGTATTATTTTGGGACTATTGTATTGTTTAGAATTAATTTCTAGTTCTGGAAAATTTTTGCAAAGGATTTAACTTATAAAACAATAAATATCCAATTTACACCAGAAAGACCTACCAAAATGAAGTATTGAAAGGTAAAAACCGCTGCCTTATAGGTCTGCCAGAATGGGTTGTCATGCACAAGCACAAGATTTAGGACATTTACAAGGTAAAAAAAACTAAAAATATATCTCATTTTGATATATAAAAACCAATCTGTCATGTATGTCACTTTTTAAATAATATAAAGTAATTGATGTAAAAGTTTATAATTATTTTGATACAATTAGCGTGAAAAGGGACAAGTTTTCGTTTTTTTCTTCTTAAATATACAAACTACAGCATTAGTTTTTTATATCACTTCTTTGTTCGAATTGTTGTCATCGACGCCGGGTGAACAACAGAAGATTCATTCATAGCTACTTTACAAAATATTTAAATTTGAGCTTTTGAGCATTTATTGAGAAATAAAGAACAATCGTGATGGTTTAAAGACAATATGTCAATATGTCGAGAAACTTTGTTTTTTATCTTTTAGACTGTCGTGTGATTTTACTGTCAAGACTCAAGTTCATTTTTTTATACAATTGGTTGTAAATTACCACCAACTTTTTAAAAACATTTTGAATCAGGAATTTGTAAAATAACAACAAATTGTCAAACATCAGAAGTCTCAGAATCTACGGTCGTAATTTCTGTATGTACTTTACTTAAATTACAACTGCAGATGTGAATGCCAAAAGGTGCCCAAGTAATTGCCAAAGTTATTTAAGGTGATTTCTTTGCGTGCCTCAGCAAAAAAAATTGCTGAGGCAAACTCTAAAATTATTGAAAGGTTTCAGCAATTATTTGCAGAGGCAAAAATAGTTGAATTTCAAAAGTTGAAGAGGTGTGCCATTCCAATCCGAAACAGATTCATTCGGATTTTGGAACTAAAATATTCAATTTCAGATCGGATTGATGAAGTTGTTTCGTGGTCAGATCAAACTTCGATATTTGAAATAAAATTAATCTATGCATTTATAAAAGCATCATCATGATTGTCACTGCATTATTTGCTCGATACTTCAATTGGACGTCACTTCGTCAGCTTCTTGACATCTATTTCTTGCTTTTATATTTATTTGGTTAAGTTAATGAAATATTTCAACTTGAATGAGAAATTTATTTTATTAAAGAATTCTTCGGATCGGAATTCTTTATCAAAATTCGGATCCGATTCGGATTAGACAATTTCAGATCGGATTTTAAACATTAGACAATTGTCGGATTATAAACGTCCAATCTGATCCGATGCACACCTCTCTAATCACTGCTAAAGATACCAGCCTCGAATAAAAATAATGACTAACACACACCTGACCCTAGTTTTTTTTAAAGTTCTTGCACAGGTTAGGACAAAAAATAAGCCATCTTGAATATCAGTGATATGCAAAGCAAAGCAATGCAAAGCGCTACGAAAACGTAAGAAAGGGAATCCTCAATTCAAAATTTCTATATTATAAATAGGGATGCACCGGAACCGGTTTTTTAAGTTCCGGCCGGAACCGGAACTAATTTATTAAACCATATATAGTCATATGTTACTTTGTCCGCTGCCAGACAAGCAGACACTTCAAATCATCAAGTAGAGAGTTCGCAAATGTCAGAATAAAAAGACTGACAAACGTTAAACGTCATAATGAAGTGTTAGTAGTGTACATTTCCCTTGCGTAGTCCAACTTTCTTCCTACTGTGACCTGTTGTTAGACACAAAAACGTTTGATATTCTATCTCCCTGAAAACGACAGAGTTCCGGTTCCGGCCATGCTTTTTTTACTAGTTCCGGCCGGAACCGGAACTCTAAAAAATCGGGGTTCCGGCCAGAACTAACCGGCCGGAACTGAGTTCCGGTGCACCCCTAATTATAAAACCCTGTATTAAAAAGCAATATAACTTTACATATATTTCATACATCACAATATATCAACGCAAAAATAATCCCAAATACCTTAAAGAAGAGAAACCAGAGGTATTCCAAGCAAATTCTAACCAAATTGATACAGCTGATGCAACATTTATACCAAGATGGAGTATGAAATACAACATAAAGTTTGAGCCAAGTCAAGCTTGAAAAACATCGAATCTCGACCACAAATGCAATCCACAGCTTTCTTTAAGTTGTTACAAACATGTTGTTGTCCATTTGGCAAAGATTAGAGCTTATATTGGAATAAGATTCTACAAAAATAATGAAAGTTTTAGGACGAAAATTTTCGTTGAAAGCACGAGGGCACAAGCTTCAATCTTTCCCGCGAAATTTCCTGGTGCTACCACTTTCAAACAAGAAATTTTCTTTTTCAAAACACATTCATTCTCTGTATTGAACATATTGAAATCACTGATGAGTGTTTCCACTTGCAAAGATTTTTCCCTGCAGCAAGGAAATTATGTGTGCTTTAAAGACCTCCTAAAATGCTCATGTTTTGTGTTCATGTTTGTTCACCCTCTATATATCAACCCAATTATTACAAAAATCCTAATCCCTTCTTTTTTGTGACAGTTTGTCGCCCCACAGAGAAAGCGAGGGGGTGGGAGTAATGGCTTCAGAGTAATGGCTTCAGAGACTTTGCACTGTCTATGTATTATTATTAGGTTGTAGACTTGTACAAAGATCCATCATGTCTATTTCAGTCCTGAGTCCTCTACTCCAAACTTTCAGAAAGTTGTCGAAAACCTTTCCTCTCATCAAAAGAATTGAAAAATTGAAAAACCATGTAAAACTAGTCCAAACTTTCTGAAAATTGTTGAAAACCCTTTCTCTAATCAAAATAATTACTTTTGATATCTGAAAACATATTTTACGGTTTTCTTTTGCCAAATGAAGGGGGCGGAGGGGGGGGGCACAACCTAGGCTTAGCAACCTCTCTTAGGAACATTTTTCAAAAATTTATGAACATATGAACTTCATTGTTTTTACTTCATCTGGCTCACTGGTCACAATTGCACCCTGTTCCTATTACCTGGCTAAGTGGGGGAAAAGTAGCTTTCCTTTATTTGAAATTAACCAAGGGTGGGTTGACTACAAAATTTTTGTAGTTCGCTATAACTACAGCTACTTCTGAAATATGTAGTCAGCTACAACTACTGCTACTTTTGAACAAAAGTAGTTCGCTACTGACTACAGCTACTGCTTAAAAAATGTAGCGAACTATTTCGCTACTCAATTATTTTTCAATTTTACTGTATTTGGAACATCTACCATAGCCCATGCAGGCTGTAATGTGACCTATAACAAATCGACTTACGCGAGTAAATAAGACGGTATGCACTTGCACAGTTTGAACAGTTGCACGGCATACTTTATTCATGCAAATTGAGCATTGATTTTAAGTAAACTGTGTCTTAATTACATTCTATTCTATCAAGTTGCTAACAATTTTAAAAAGTAGCGAATAGCGATTTGCTGTTTGAAAAGTAGTCAACTACTTGGCTACTTTTAGGCAAAATGTAGTTCGCTATAACTACAGCTACTGTTTTGAAAAAGTAGTCAAAAACTACTGGCTACTTGAAAATTGTAGTTCGCTACAGTAGCGAACTACAACTACTTGGCTACTACCCACCCTTGAAATTAACCCATTGAGTTGCATTGCACCAGGAATGCACCCTACTTTAGTATTTTACTCTGTCTAACGCCAGACTATTTTACTCGATTTTACTCGTCAAGGGGAGAGTACTGGCGCTTAACGGGTTAAATATTGTTTATATATGAATTGGAACATTTTAGCACATGGAGCCCATCCCAGGTTTTATTGAAGTTATGTATTAAAATTAGGTATGAAATATATAGCTCAGTGTCAAAACCTGCAATTTATGAATTACCAAAATACCTGTGCACAATTGAATACTTTACATATATTATATAATGCAATCCCAATCAATACTTGGCAAACATTTAAAGGTCTGTTTTCTGAATATTTGATGAGTTTCTTTAGCCCATTTATACAAACAAAATTTTAAAAATTCCCTGTATTTATATACGCCATATTGATTGCCACACTGTTCAGCAAGAAGTCAAACATCAGCAAGATGTCAACTTGTTCCAGCCCAGAAGTGTTCTGTTTCCTTATTACACAGGATATTAATATGTTAATGTGAAAATATTAAGATTAAAAGTATCTTTTAAAAAATAAACCTTCTCAAACCTAGCCTGTGTAGTGTGCACAGATGTTACCATCGATGAAGCACACATTCAAGAGAATGTCTGAGTTGGATGAAGATTCCTTGTTTTGGTTAGATGGATTTACCACAGATTTGTGCGAAGACCTTTGATTGGACGGTGCTTTATTTTAATAATATACAACAAATGAAGATATTTCATTGGTCAATTGATAATATACATGTGTTTAAATAACAACACAATAATTTTAAATTCAGAGATTTCATCAAGAATTCCTTTGGGGCATACAAAGGTTTGAAAGACTTGAAATATAATCTGTTGCATTTAATTTTGTGCTGTATCAGGGTTAAGAAAATCAAGATGAAATTCTAGTGTTTGAACACTTAGCGAACAATGCTGACAAATATAAAATGCAACAAACCATTGGACAGAAATTGACAATTTATAATTGACAATCTGTTTATATGTCCTGACCCCTCGCGATAAAATATTTTCTTTAGTGTGTTTACTTCGATTTACTTGGCCAGTTAAGGCAATTCCGCAGTTTTGCATTGCGCACATTTACTGCGCACATCCTATAACTTATAATTTCATCCATTATACGTACTGTTTATAAAAAATCATTTTATGACAATTTTATGTTACTTCAAAACATCTTTGGCTACACTCGTCCAAAGAATTACGTTATAAAATCAATGTTTTCAAAAAAGGCATACAAAAATGTAGCTAGGGTTCTCTGTGTCTGTAGTATATTTATTTACTTATATTTCATGTTTTAATGCCATAATTCCCTAAAAAGATCGGTATTAATAAAAATTTGATGATCAATCGATGAAAGTGTAACGTAGGTCGCTTGTCACTAATTTTGTGGCTGCTTTGTCGCTTGTTTTATTGTAATAAATGTCACCGTCACTTTTGACCCATAACATTTGTCGCTTTTTCCCAGTCAGAAGCTGTCATTTGTCGCTCTTTTTTAGATAGTCTGTCACCTCTTTTTAATGGAATGTCACCTGTTGGTCATAATCTCTTGGTGGACCTGATTATTCATTGATTTCCAATATCTATCGATTGTTAAATATCGATTGGTATTGATTGATATTGATACTCATCGATTATCGATTTCATCGATTAAGTACGGTGCCAGACTGCATTTTCTCCACCATGCGCGGAAGATCTTCCATGCACATTTTTTATGCTTTCTATATATTTACTATTAAACTTTCGAAAAACTTCCGCGCGCAATTTCCAAACTTTGCAGTTGCTTTAAAGTACAGCGTTTTATAATATTGCCCACCGTACGGCAATATTATAAAACGCTGTACTTTAATTAAAGCAATATAATTTGACATATCTTTCATATATTTCGCATAAACAATCCCATCTCAGATAAAAATAATGACTAACACACACCTGACCCAAGGTTTTTTTAAAGTTCTTGCACAGGTTAGGACAAAAAATAAGCCATCTTGAATATCAGTGATACCACTATCACCACAATGCAAAGCGCTACGAAAACGTAAGAAAGGAATCTTCAATTCAAAATTTCTATATTATAAAACCCTGTATTAAAAAGCAATATAACTTTACATATATTTCATACATCACAATATATCAACACAAAAATAATCCCAAATACCTTAAACAAGAGAAACCAGAGGAATTCCAAGCAATTTCTAAACAAATCGATACAGCTGATGCAACATTTATACCAAGATGGAGCATGAAATACAAAATAAAGTTTGAGCCAAGTCAAGCTTGAAAAACATCGAATCTCGACCACAAATGCAATCCACAGCTTTCTTTAACGAGTTACAAATACACTGTTGTCTATTTGCCAAAGATTAGAGCTTATATTGGGATAAGATTCTACAAAAATAATGAAAGTTTTTAGGACGAAAATTTTCATTGAAAGCACGAGACCACGAGCTTCAATCTTTCCCGCGAAATTCCCTGGTGCTACCACTTTCAAACAAGAAATATCCTTCCTGTGATTTTCAAAAAACATTCATGGTCATCATGGAATCAAAATTCTGATGACTGACAAATAAACCAAACATGGACGTACCGGAAGGAAAAAATTAGGGGGGCGGAAAGAAAATTGCCCGACTTTTCGGGATTCTGCCCGACTAGTACCAAAAATTTTTTTCCGGAAAAATTATTTTATTTCGACCTCCCCCCCGGTCAACCAATATTTTCCGGACAACCAATATTTTTCGGAACATAACACAAATTTTCGAAAAATCACAAAATTTGCCAAAAAATTGACTTAATTTTACACAAAATTGACAGAATTTGTCCCATTTTTTTTTATTGCAAACCAAAATTGCCCGACTGTTGATCGAATATTGCCCGACTGCCCAAAAAACTGGGGGGGCTACCGCCCCCCCCACCCGGTACGCCTATGAAACCAAATAACTAATTTTGGCCACTTTTACCACAGGAAGAATCGTAAGCTAAACTAGGCATGTATTGCGTATTATATCCGGCTAAAAATGGCCCAAAACTGTCAATGTTTTATGTCATTAAAACATTATAGTTAAATTTAATAACTAGCCACACCTTTTTATAGCTATTGTGTCACATAGGGGCGCACAGAATAAATACAAACACAAGGTCAACTTCTTGGTTTTGCTATGATTTTGGAGTAACCGTAATTTGTCATCAAAATGGCGACGCCATGGTCCTAGCCAGTGCGCATTTGCAGGGACGTGCCAAGTGGTTTATGGTTGGGGGGGGGGGGATGAAATAAAAATTTTGGGTCCTCCTCCCATTTGGAGTCCCCCTCAAAAACATTTTTCCAGAAACCAAAATTCTGGGGAGGGGGGAGGCCCCAAATTTTTTCAAACACTAGGTTTACATCATGACATCAGCATTTTGATGAGGAACATGGCAGGGGTTATGCATTTTTGGCTGAGTCAACCTTCTGTGTGTCTTTATTCTGTGGCTCTGACTAGAGCATAATCAGTCATTGTGAACACTGTTCGCAGAACAACAAATGCTAGGCATTTGGACATATCTACAAAATATCTATTTTACTATTTACGTGACATTGCACAATCAACACTGACCACTTTCCCAGCTAAATCTAACTCCCCTCCCCAGTTGGGGTAGGAATTTACATTGACTGATGTATTATGTAAACATACTCATTTCTCATATGAACACAAAAGAAATTTTATATTTAACAAATATAAAACATTTTCTGTGTTGATATACATTTATATCAACAAGAGTGTAAATTGGGAAAACGAGAAATTGTGTGGATAAAGAAAGAAATTTTCCGATGTTTCTGTGTTGACATTGAGTTATATCAACACAGCTCGATCTTAGCCAATCAGCATTCAGAATTTTCAAATGCTATATAATAAAATTTATTACTAGGAGTTACTATCGCAAGGAAAATGCTGCCGATATGTACATGTAGGATGTGCTACAAAAAGAGCGTTTTTCACTGTATGTATGATTTATTGTCTTACACATCGTCGTTCCTCAGTTACCTTCGTACAATTATATCTTACATCTAATCTTATGAAAAGTATATTTTAATATACTTAACAGTGCTACTTTGATAGTTGACACATAATACAAATGATAAAATGTGAATATTATTGAATGATTTTGTCACTCGTACAACTTTTAATTTGGCTATTCAAACAATTGATTTAAAATAGTTGAATTTATACTTACTGGGATGTTATTGCTTATTGGGATGTTGAAATTATGTTTGTTTTAAATACATTTAATTGATATTCCATAAATTCATTTTGTATGATTTCATTGACCTTGACGTTGTTCAAAATCATTTTGTATTGTATTGAAACTGTATGTCTATGACCTATGTTATGTACTATATTAACCCATTGAGTCGCATTGCACCCTGATGCACCCTACTTTGAACAGTATTTTACTCTGTCTAACGCCAGACGATTTTACTCGTCAAGGGGAGAGTGCTGGCGCTTAATGGGTTAACTGATCTATCTGCCCATGTGTCTAGTTAACCCATTGGGTCGCATTGCACCCTGATGCACCCTACTTTGAACAGTATTTTACTCTGTCTAACGCCAGACGATTTTACTTGTCAAGGGGAGAGTGGTGGTGCTTAATGGGTTAACTGATCTATCTGCCCATGTGTCTAGTTAACCCATTGGGTCGCATTGCACCCTGATGCACCCTACTTTAGTATTTTACTCTGTCTAACGCCAGAGTATTTTACTCTGTCTAACGCCAGACAATTTTACTCGTCAAGGAGAGAGCGCTGGCGCTTAATGGGTTAACACGCCCAAAATCTGTACGTGCGGGATGTTCGCGGGACAAGTACGTGAACTATCCCACGCAACTGCATGATCAAAACAAAACAAAAATTGACCATGGTTTTTTTTAAAAATAAAGCTATTTCTGAAAGGTTTCTAATGGAAAAAAGAGTTGAATAATAATACTTCGTTTTGAGTGCCAAATCACTTGCGAGTCTATACATCAATTCTACATATGATACGAATATCACTAGACCAAAAAATAGCTACGAAACAATATTTTTTAATTTTTTTATACACTGTCAAGTGTCAACTGATTCAACTGTAAAACATTTGCAAAATTGCATACAAACGTTTAAAAAGTTGTTTGCTTCTCCAAAATACGTTCACGTTTTTAGTCGTGTTTCTACAAGATTAAAGTGATTATATGTAAACAGAAAAATATTTCAGTTTCATAGCCTAATTGTTCATTTTTAGCAAAAAGTACAAAACCAAACATGAAACAAAAAAACACGTCCACCTGTTAATAGGCTGTTACAGCTCATAGATTGAGTAAACGGCAGGATTCTGTTAGCTTCAACCTTGTTTTCATCGATTTAATCCTTCACAATAATTCTTGGCTGTCCATAGCACTCAAATAAATCGAAAAGTTGACAAAAACAAAACAGTAAAAACAACATTGCGGCTGGATTTTGCTGAATGAAAACTCGTTCTGCGCCCGCGTACAATCTTTTACTAGTCAGCGACGCTTTTCAATAGGGGAATTTCTCGAGTTACACGAGGCTATTTTCTAACTTTATTTGCATTTTACTCGTTAGTTTCATCGGTGACCTATCTTCAAATTTTGACCACGAATTTATTTTGCGGTAAATTTTATAAATTTCAAATTTTAAAAAAATCTGTAGTGTGGAAATTTCGCAATAAATTTTTCGCTTTTAAAAGAATCACACACTACAGAATTTTTTAAACTTTCACCACAGTTGCAGAGCATCATTCCTTATTGATATATAAAATAAAAAAGATAGGTCACCGACATCGTTTTTGAGATAGCGGCACATTTATGGGTTAAATTGGAAGGCTTTATGCTGTCGTCATGTTACCATGGGAACATTGAAATCGTCGAAATCTAGTTCGAAATATTTCTTAGGTGACCAATATTGCCACCAAGTCGAAAAGAATTCGCGTTCTGCACGAATAAGCCTGTTTTACGGAATTATTGCTTAAACAAGAATAACTGTAGGGAGCCACCTTAACACGCCCAAAATCTGTACTAAAACTGCTAATTCTGTTTTGTGATTGGCACAGTTTAATCAAAGAATCCTCCCGTTGAACCAGAGCCTTCACGATATTTCAATTTATTATTAACTGAAGGCTCTGGAATCCAGGATAGCTTGCCATTGAATGCAGTGCAATGCTTATATTTCTGAATGAATAAGATCATACTCAGAACAGTCAGAACTGCAAAACTATATTGTTAGAAAGAAGTTGAAGTTGTGAGCATTATTGTGGTAACACAGCCATATGTATATATCAATGTATGTCAGTAGAATCATGTTTATAGGCTTTATATATAACTGAGGCAGTCTTATACAAGTCATATCTTATACAAGTCATATCTTATACAAAAGTCAGTTGATATGCTATATTACATGTAATTGCTGATAAGTCCATATATGCAGACAACAATCCAGGAATCTTGTTAAGCCTGATTTAACAAAATCCCGCGTTTGTTTTTAAACTATAAACATCTAGAAATAGAACGTACCGAACACTATTATATACTCACCGCCTTTGGCTTTGCACATATTAAGTGACATAACAAACAAATAAACTAAAAGTTCATTTGCTTCTTGTATCAGCATAAAGGCATTAATCATTACTGTCGATTTGGTCGGGAATAGATCAGTGATTCAGTGGGTATTATAATTGCCGATATATTCTTGAAATCATATTGTTTCAATGCCTCTATATCGAAGTTTAATACACCAAAGTGACTAAACAAGTATAAACAGCAGATTTAAATATAAATGCCTTCATGTATTATAAAATATATCACCAGACAGGTAGACAGGGCACACGGCACGACTACATCACTATACGAGAACGAAATAAAGCCATCCTTACCTGGATTATTCAAAATATTGTCGATCATTCTTGCGCCAGAGACACAAAATAACACCGTGCTTTATTTACCCATTCATCTTCACAAATATTACTCGGAATTTTTATGGAAATTCGCATTATTTTATGATTTTTATATTTCTGTCCGTTTATAACAGTCGCCATGTTGTGAACAAACCCCCCCCGGGAACAAAAAAATGATATCAAAACAGCTAGTTTTGGCCCGTCCGTGGATGACAAAATGACATAAATCGAGATTGTAGCGGCTATAAACTCGGCGGTCACGTGGTAAGCACACCTCGTGTAGAGATTAGTGTGCTGCCTCGCTACGCTCGGCAGCAACTACAGTACCTATCCAAATAAGCAAAATAAATTATTTGTTTCTGTTTCCAAAAGGCAATATTATACCAAATACAATTACAACTGTGTTTGGTTTTGACAAAACACAAACCAAACAGTGGGCTCGATTATCGTAGGTCTGAGCCTCAGCCTCATTTTCATGTTAGAGTTTATTATTTTCATAATGAATTAATGAAATGGTTAATCCATCAGTGGAAATGCTAATTAGGAATATGTTTAATGGATTTATGAAATAAATTATACTAAGAATTGAGAGGAGTGGTTTGTGTCCTAGCTTCAGGTATGCTAACGAGGTTGAGAAAGTGCAAATGTAGTACAAAAGGGGAGAGGTGGTGTTCTCGGCACTCGAGAACAGCAATAATATATATAGTAATATCATAGCTACTTCGAAATCCTTTGTTTCGCGAGGGATGATTAATGACTAATGTACGTCATTGCTAAAACATGAGGGACGAGTAGAAACTAATCATCCCACGGAACGATTATAGTTACTAATCGTCCCTCATCTTTATGGATAACCTCTTATATTGATGTTCAATTAAATATTTAGCAGACATGAAAAATCAACCGTAACCTCATTAACGAACATCCAATAGTCATTAGTATCAAAAGGCAAACGCGCCTTTTCATTTCAACTTATTGAGTCGAATGAAACCATTTTATTGTCTCGGTAGCTATATTACAAAGTGATAGCATGGCATTACAGTCGATTAGTGATGAAATGTCCCTCAAGCCTCGACGGACAATACCAAGCCTCGTCAATACCCAAGTGCATGCATGATGCATGACCATGAAATACTACGATCTATCCACGGTCATGGCCTCCATCGAATTACCTCTTCAACGGTACTACAACCCTAAAAAAACTCCGATTAATCGTGACGGAACGAAATTGTTAATTTAACCCATTAAGCGCCAGCGCTCTCCCCTTGACGAGTAAAATGTCTGGCGTTGGGCAGAGTAAAATAATAAAGTGGGGCGCATCAGGTCGCAATGTGACTCAATGGGTTAACTAGACACATGATCAGATAGGCCAGTTAACCCATTAAGCGCCAGCGCTCTCCCCTTGACGAGTAAAATCGTCTGGCGTTAGACAGAATAAAATAATAAAGTGGGGAGCATCAGGGCGCATTGCGACTCAATGGGTTAAAGACGTGCGTATAAAATAGTAATGCAACACGTTTTGTCTTCAGATGGATGGAAGTCATATGCAGTGCTACACAGAATTCAAGTCGAACCCGACTGTTTAGTCGTCAAACAAGTGTCTTACCATAACTGCCGGTGAACTTGAACGAATAGAAGTAGGTGAATTTAGCCAAATCAATGAATCGTTTTTATATTTATTCCATGCTGGACGTAATATAATTTGATATATTTTTACTTTTAACTGGGGAAGCGTCACATATCAATTTTGTGCACGAGAAACGTCATATGGACTTTTTCTTGAGACCCCCAATCTTAGAAACGTCACGCACTGTTTTCGACTCTGCCGAGGCCCCTACGAACTGCATGCGCTTCATCATACGTCTCCATATATAAATTGTTCTCAAATTGGTTTCAACAGGATTCTTTATCAGGGAACAATTTGAGAAAGTTTAAATTTATTAAATAATTTATTCGTCTTCAAGATGAAGTTTTCGCCATGAATTCTATTTTAAGCTCTAATAATATGAAGTATTTGAAATATAACGGAGTAGCGATGGTAACACAGTTTTTTTCGTATGATTTTTCAGTAAAGTTGTTAACACAAAATCGATATATGACGCTTCCCTAAAACTAATACGAATATTCAAAATGGCGCGAGCACCATATTTGAAACTTATAATCTTACGAGTACTAGTCGGGTCCCATAGAGAATATAAAATGGAAAAAAGAGTAAAAAAATTTGTTGAAACTCCGAAGGAAACCACTTGAATAAGGGTAGCTTTTATCGGGAATTTTAAACTGGACCTTTTTAATAAACAGCTAACAATGCTTGCAGTTCTCAATATCATGAACAGATATGTATTCAAAATACTTGTATAAAATATATATTAATCGCGGTAATATAACAAGGTTTTTGACTTGAATGAACTTTTAATTAATAACTTGAATGAAATTTTAATGTTTTTAGTTCGTTTGGATTTAGAAATTTAAATGACCCTACGAATGAATTTTGAAAAATTCATTTATAGGTTCATTAAACGAAACACCTTGTTATTACTTAATTACTTTATTACTTATTAAACCTTATTTTTGCATTAATTAATAACAATATGCAAATATGTAGGAAATGTTCTTTAATTTTATCTTTTCGAAATTTCTTGTTGAAATATACTGTATATTTTAGTAATTGAACAGCATTATTTGATATTCAATGAGCAATTTTGTAGAAGGTAAAAAAATTAGGTTGGAACCTCGTTCTCAGGATATTGGCGATGCAGGATTGTTTTGTAACACAATTTGACACAAACCAACCAATCAAAGTCAAGAAAACATTTCCCATGTACTGCTATTATTATTATTTATTAATATTATTATATATAGTAGTAATAATATTTTTCGAGTTTTTTAGGTACGGACACTGTATATTAAAGTTTTACTACATGGTAAAACCTATGAGTTTTATAAGACTGAACTTTTGCTCTCGTCTCTAATATATAAATATGAAGAAAACTGAAATTTTCGAAGAAGTAGCCTCTTCCGCAGGCAACGCATAAGCGTTTGTAACAAAATGCGCTCTTCACTAGATATCAGATATTACTCAGATATTCAAAATTCAATGAAATATGAAAGAATGAGTTTTAGATCAGATCAGATCGTATCTATTTAATTTGCGATATTAATTAAACCATCTTTTTCGGTGCGTTCCCAAGAATCAACTTTACCATTTGTCCGCATGCCTTTTTGCTGACGTTGTATTCGTTGTAGAATAAAGAGAAAGACTATTTCAAAACGGTCCATATTGCAATTGCCACAAAATTTCGTGAAAATGAAAATATATCTTGGTGGTTTTAACGCAAATAGGGTTGCAGTATATAAATTTGTTTTCTTACCAAAAATTTGGTTTGGTAAATCATACATGCATATACATACTTGTTACGTGACTGTCACTCTGTCAGTACAACCAACTGTTTCAAAGCTTTACGAAAAACGTTGTAATAACCTCTACAGTAAAGACAGCTAATTAAGCAATTAAGTGACGTAATACCATTACTTAGATACATTAGTTCAATTAAGAATTACACGCGACCGTTGCCGTTCGCACGCGCGATAGAAGAAAGTTCTATTGAGTTGCGTCACAGCGACTAATTACGCTCGAGAAGGATTTGAATGTTGGAAGCTGTTTTCAGTGTGTTTCACTATCCTCTGCACACTGATGAACAGAAACTTCTCTAAGTCAATTCCCTGGATTGCAAAGTGAACAAGTTACGTGCATTGTTTTGCTGCATCAAGTCGATGTCAGCATCGCCTGACGCTAAGGAGACAAGACCGAGTTCTGCAGCTCCACCTACATCAAGTGTTTCCAGTGCAAACAGACGTGACAGTAGCCCACCGCCTGACTCTGCTGTTGCTGTATTACAATCTTATGGCTATACACTGGGAGAGTCTCTTGGCAAAGGTTCTTATGCCGTCGTTAAAGCAGCGTACTCACAAAAACACAAAAAACGAGTTGCAATTAAAATTGTTTCAAAAAGACGAGCACCTGAAGATTATCTGACAAAATTCCTCCCTCGTGAAATTCAAGTAATGAAACGACTTCGACATCCAAACTGTGTATGTCTTTATGAAGCAATTGAAACGAGTTCTCGTATTTATCTCGTCATGGACATGGCTGACAACGGGGATTTATTGGAATATATAAGATCTAAAGGAGCTCTATCTGAGGAAAAAGCAAGAGATTTCTTCAGACAATTGATTGATGCAACATCTTACATGCATGAAAGAGATATCGTACATCGCGATTTGAAATGTGAAAACTTGCTTCTTACTCAACTCAATGCAATCATGATCTCTGATTTTGGTTTTTCGAGAATTCAAGCAAAAATCCCAGAGACACAGAAAAGGAAACTAAGTCGTACATTTTGTGGATCCTATGCTTATGCACCACCAGAGATCTTGCGTGGTATTGCTTATGATGGAACGATGGCAGATATCTGGAGTCTTGGTGTGGTCTTATTCACAATGGTATGTGCAAGTCTGCCTTTTGATGATAGTAATCTGAAAATTCTCCTGGATCAAGTGTCTAAGAGAGTACAGTTTCCGCGAAAACGTGGAGCATTATTGTCGGTTGAAGTCAAGAACCTGATTGGACGAATGCTTACGAGTGACGTCAATGATCGTATTGATATTGAAGGGATAAGGAATGACCCGTGGTACAAGAATAATAAAGCAAGTGCTGTGTCCATTTCTGAAGTTGAACCATGTACTACATCTACACACACCAACAGTCAAGACGACGCTGAAAGCACTCAAGCCGAGAAGGAGAAAACGAAAGACACAGTACAAATCACTGAGGATACTGCTTCTGTTCCTGTTGAAAAGATGGCGACACGGTCTAGCACGCGAAGGAAGGCGAAGGAAACCGAGCAACCCACGAAACTACACGAACTTCCATCCTCAAGTGAACGACAAGATGTGCGCATTACGATTGAAAATGAATGAAATTCTAAGACATGGTAAACGTTTTTAAACTAACTTCAATGCTGATAAAATAACTGGATATTTTACCCCGATACATGTAATATTGCAAAGAAAATGAAATATGTTGATATTCCGTATTTGATATGTGAATTTTGCGTACGCATACAGTTCAACAACATTTGAATATTGAGTCCATGAAATAATAAAGTTTACGTTTAAAGATTGACGCTATTCCGATTGGCTCCGCAGCGGGCAACCACAAAAAAAAGCTTGAGCTGGATTAGAACCCGCGCGACCTTTGCCCTTACAATCCATGGTTCTGCCAACTGAACTAAGAGATCGGTTCAAATATAGTTGATTTTTCGGAACTGAGTCTGAGTATAGTTTCTTCAATATTAGTATATCTTATATGTTATGACCCTTCCTTCATTTGTGGACCTTTGATATACTGTCCTGCTTGATATACTACTTCATGATCCATGATTGAGTCGGTTTTTCTTTGATGTACCGAGGTGATTATTTCTAATAAGCACTTTGAATATTAATTAGCTGAAAAGATGAAGGAAAAGTCAGAAAATCGTCGTTCAAAGCAGATGAAACAGACGAAATTTTGTTGAAAACCTCCTCAACCATGAATTAAATATGATAAACACCTCGAAAGTCGGTATTTATGTCAGATAATGCCCTCGGACGCTGCACGTCCTCGTCCCTTACGTCATTATCTCACATAAATCCCTCCTCGGTGTTTATCCTATACATAAATAGTCAGTAGACTGTCTGCTATGCAGTCCACAATGCTTTTCGGACTTTACGTAGATTTTTCCTCTAATGAATAGGGTCGCCAGAACAGACTTTGTTATTGTTAGTCACAAACACTGTTTTGTTTTAGAAAGCCAATCGCAAAACACGATCACAATAGGTCGATATTTACTGATGATTTCAAGCTCGTGCCTAACAAAACGCTGGCAAGTATATAGGTTATCTTGAGGTAACGTGGGGATGTGTGATTTATTCACGAATAAACACATATATCCCCGAGGTGCCTCAAAATAACGTACTTATTTTTCACATTGGCGAGGTTGCATTGCATGAGTCAGAGGAGACTCTCCCCTGTTGAAATCAAAAGCCCCCCCCCCCAGCTTTCACACACTTAACTGGCAGGGGATATTAAATATATTTTCTCTAAAGAACAAAGGAGATCGAGTAATGTGAAAAATACCACAGGTTATTTGTTTCACTCATCGGCACAACAGAACATATAACCTGATGTAAAAATACAACACTATTTTCAACACATGTTGGCGGCTTAATTTAAGAATTTTAATGAACAATGTACAACAATAGGTATAGAAACAGATATAATTAAGTTACATAAAATTTAAAAAAATTCTATATATATATATATATATATATAATTTTAAAAATCTATAATACACACAAAGTTAAAAACCTATTACAATTTTGAACATTATATATAAGCTGGTATTAATTGTTAAACGTTCAGTAAGAGGAGGACTACATCTTCAAGGCACCTTTGTCAGTGTTTGTCTGACGAAAAAGGCACTTTGAAGGGAACTTTGGAGCATATCTTACAAGCGAAGGCCCTAGTCTGGAAGTTAATAGCAACTAACTATACTAACTTACAATAACGTCCAGACTAATTAGATAGGGCCTTCGCTCGAAACATCGAACTTTTTATTTCTCAGGTATATAGTTGTTTTTCAGTTATATTAAATTTATCTCCTGACTCCTGCATGCAAAAGATTGCTTATTCTATTAAGCAGTTGTTTTAATTTGTGCGGCACTTAAAGATATTCCCACATGATATGAACTATATTATATATACACTATATAATTTGATATAACAATCCATTCTTCATGGATAGTAGCCTATAAGATCCGATTTTAGTACAATTTCTATCATTAAATTCTAATATCGTTTAATGTTTCACTAGACAACATATATGGTAAAATTGCAATACCTATTAATACACATTTAGCATAAAGCCTGGTTCACATATCACCGATTGCCTCCAGTGCCACAGTTACATCGGCGGTAGGCCGGGAAAGTTGACTTGAGTTCAACTTTGCCGGTATTTCGGCGGCAAGTAGAGGCATAATGATACAGTCGCAGGCATACCGCATGCATATGTGAACCAGGCTTAACGTCACAAATATGTTAAAACTGAGCGACTGGATAGCATGGAAGGAATTTCAAAACAACAAAAAGACAATGAAACATTCCGATCGTTGTGTCGTGACCAGACAGACAATGCTAAGTTTATGTCCATTTAGATAATGCTCATTGCACACACTATTAGTGTATACTAATTAAACTTATATATAAGTGACTACAACACTCTAAAAATGCTCTGGTTAATATTTCCTGGTTAACCTAGATATAACCGTATTCGGTTAACTTAATACTCTAGGTTAATTTTCCTTGTTATTTTTAATTTTCCTGTATGCTTAAATTAACCATGTTACTGTAGATGGATAAATAACCAGGCCGCCTGGCCCTGGTTATTAATCCACCTAACATAATCTGGTTACCAGGAACCCGAAGACCAGAAGACCTGGTCATGTTAACCAGACAACTGTGTAAAAAACCTAGGAATATTAAGTTAACCCAAATAGGGTTGTTTACAGGTTAACCTGCACGACGTTTAACCACGAAGATTAACCAGAGTGTTGTTAGAGTGAAGAAATGGAGAGTTTGATCTAAAATTTAGTTTCTAACCATTTTAAATTCAGCGTGAAATCCATCTCTATGAATTGTTGAATCTGATTTAAAGACTAGAATAAGTTCTCTCCCTGGATCAATCCTAAACACACGTCGTCCTAAAGTGGATCCACAAAACTTGCCCATATTTCTAGAATATCTACGATCGCTTGTTCTTAACGTGATATCTAAGTAATCGTATTTACAGGAACTTTCTTCTGACGTTTCAATGTCAAAGATGTCGAACTTGAGACGGAGTCGACGGTTCACTGTATTCTTGATTCTCCATTCACAACGAGTGTTAGCAGGATATTTGAAAGGGAAACCAGGAGTCTTGATTGTTCCTGTAGCTCCAGTCAATGTTTTTTTACATTGAGAGTCTTTTGTTGTGTATCTTAAACTCATCTCACTCTTGCGTGCCGTCTAGAATAGAGAAAATGGTTAAATACTATATTACCTTATAGAAGCCGTTGCGGCCTGAAAAATGTAAGGTGTAAAATTTTAAATTACTCTTCTGGCAAATGTTTCTGACAAATGTTTCCTGGTTTGTCCAACTTTGGTATACATGGTTTCCGCAATGTCAATCTTTGCCCAGGGCCTGGAAAAGAATCCCACGTGGGGTTTCTTTTAATTCCCTCCATGCACAATGACGTCAAATAACTGATGCACAGGACGGTATAGTATTTTGGTTAGGATATGGGTTATGATTAGGATATGATTAAGGTGAGAATTGGAGTAGGATTAGTGCTACGATTGTAAGCGTTGGGAGGTAAGAGACTGAATAGTGTATACCTCGATATGATATTCAATCCAGACATCGTTAGATCTGATTGCACGATTCCCAACCAAGTCTTCTCTGCCACAAATCTTTACCGTCTTTTCATTGTCATCTGATGTGTCATCTGTGTATCTTATCAATATATGATTGGAACATTCCTCATCCCGTCGCCAAGCAACCATCACGTCGATGTTCATGTGTGTTGCACGTGGCACAAGTATGTTCCAGGAACACTCAATGTCGTGTGGTAGGGGTCTGGGGAGCAATGGCGACGAAACTTCTCCGCTCGATTCACTCAATATTCCACCACATGAAGGAAGGACTATAAGTTAAAAACATTGGTCAAGTTTTTCTATGAAAATAGTGGAAAATAACTATATGAAAATAACATTAAATAAAGCTAACTTAAGAATGCAATGCAATGCAATGCAACAGTTTTAGTGCAATGCAATGCAATGCAACAGTTTTAGTTGAGTACAGTACAGTACAGTACAGTACAGTACAGTACAGTACAGTACAGTACAGTACAGTACAGTACAGTACAATGTAACGTAGTGCAATGCAATCAATGCATTACAATAAAATACAATACGAGATTAAGATTTGGCCTCCACCACAGGTGCCAGTAAGGACCATGAAAACAATCAATACGTTAGTTTACCAAAGGATTCGAAACATTGTTACATGTTCTTATGACAGTTAATGCTATCATCTTGCATTGCATAGTTTGTTAACGGCTGCGATGAAATAACTGAAATAACATCAGTGTTACAACTTCAGGCATACGAATAAGCAGAAAGATGACTTCTTTTGTTCTGCCCATGGCAAAATTCACCACATTTCTTTGTTTCGCCTCTTGTCGTTTCTTACGCTTTTTCTCACGACGCTAGTGAAAACCTGGCAGGCATCATAAGTGATGTAAAACTAGAGCAAGTGTTGTGTGACATGCATATTGCATCATCATTTAGTTCTTGGGTCAAGATTTTTTTTGGTCAACTTCAAACAACAGCACTTGATGATGAATTAATGGATCAATAAAATTCAATCGTTCAACATTTTTTTACCTTTACAAGAATTGGTGTTTTTATCCAATATACTGCCAGAGTTACACGAACATTTGAAACTTCCTTCAGTATTTATACACGTTTGAGGGCATGGTGAGCTCAAGCATTCATTTATGTCTAGATGTAAAAAAATGATATAGCAGGCTTAACAAAAATTAATATCCTGGAGAAACGAAAAATTAATATTCTTTCTTCCTGTTGTGGAAAAGAAGCACGGTGACCTCCAATCTTTTCGTGCATCATTGTACCATGGATAATAAAATAAACCACCATTGCACCATGGATACTAATTTGTTATTTTACAATCCATGATTGCACATAAAAAATAAACTAACAAGTAACAATAGCAAAACAAAAAAATTTGTAATGCCATTTTCTGTAACGCAAAAATGTCATTTTTTATGGCATTGGTCACACGGGTTTGTTCATATAGCATTTAGTTTTGTTTTCGGGATTCTTGTATAAAGGAATTTGCGAGGATTACTGTATCGAGCCACTTTAAATACAAAAAAAATATTAGGTATAAACTCGGGTTTGAATACCGATATCATACTTGATAATGACGAATGTAAAGTTATAAAAAATATCAACACAAAGAAACAATATCAAATAAAGGACAGACGCGACAATGTGCCTTTCAAATTCATCCTGTAATCGCCTGTCATAAGACCTGGACATACTAGGAAACATTGTCATCTTTTTTTTTCTGTGTTGGTGTTGTGTACTCAGGTGAATATGATATTTATGATGTTACCCTGAGTGTATATCCACACCGGGCGAGCTTATGCCCGGCCACGGTGGGAATCGAACCTACGACCTTTGGAATACTAGCCCAAATTGTCATCTTGCATACCCTTAGAGCATGGCTTGGAAACAATGTTTTCGCGCATGAGTGTTTCCTGGTTTGTCCATGCCTTTACACGTGATCTCACCTCTACATGTTCTCTTGTCGTCATTCATTTCATATCCTTCATTACATAAACATTCAAATCCTCCAACATAGTTTTTACACGCATGCGCACATGGTTTTAATGCACATTCATCTATATCTGAGAAGAATGAAACAACTGATTAAAAGACACAGCATGCGTATTCGTAGTTTTCAAATTTTGGGATAAAAAAGCAACCTACCAGTGCAAACCTTGCCATATTGAACAAGATAATGACCTTCAGGACATGTACAGTAAAAACTTCCGTCAGTATTTTCACAATCATGGGAACATCCACCATTGTTCTCTTCACACTCGTTCTTATCTGCAAGAGGACCTTGTATACATTATAACTATCCCAGGGTATATTTTCTCGTTTCAATTTTTCCATTTTCAAATATTCGACGGATCATCCCAATTCAGGAACCTCCCGTCTTTGTGTAATAACAAGACGAACTAACTAGAATGATATGCCTGATATTTGGCTAATAGTTTGTCTAGTGCCGCACGGAAGGATCAACAAAGACGAACGCACGTAATTTCGTCTTGAAGAACGAGTAGGAAAATTACGCAGATAGTTCATCTTGAAGGTGATCCATCTGTTTGCCGCACATAACCAAAAGACTACAGAAAAAACTTATATTATTTGCCCAGGTTCGTCCAAACGGATCATCCCTAATAAAATTGGGCCAATAAATCAAATAGGCATGGAAAAGTTTCCTCAGAAATTAAAATAGAATATTATATCAGGAAACAATGCGACAGTAAACCATTCAAAGAGATGGACTTTTGTCGGAAAAGATCTCGCGTTTAACATTCAGACAATTCTATCTTCGGAAGTGATGAAAAAGCGATGAAAAATGTAATGATGAAATTCTATCAGAGGAATGTGTGGAAATTCGTAAATTCATGAAATACATATTCACAACATACCAACGCATGTTCCATAGAGTCCATAAATGAAAGAATATCCAGCGCGACATCCACATAAATAACCACCTTTTGTATTAATACAAGCTTGTTCACATTCTGATAGTTTTTCAGCGCATTCATCTATGTCTACAGAATAGAATACCAGAAGTTACGAGAGTGAGTTTTCATTCCTGTCAATCGGCGGTTAAGCCAAAATTCTACCCGTGAACAAGCTAGGTTAACGTTCTTGTTACGTTACCTGACCTATTACATTCCTAGTTTATATTCCCACGCTAACTTTTGCATCGTAGGTCATGCAACTTACCAACGGTTTCATAACTCGCACTAAATCCAACTGCCGATGTTTCGTTATGTGGTGAAGATGAATGGAAGATCACTCGAAATGAAATTGAAGTTGAGGTAACGACACCAGGATTATTGTCGCCGCAAAAACGTCCAAGGAAAGTTGAAAATGGAGAATCACCATCACGGAGGTCAACATAATCTAAACATCCTTTCTTGTTATCTACACCTTGAAGATGAAATGTCTTGAACGTGATATTTATTCTATAACCTTTAGGAACCTGGATTTGCCATACGCAATCAGTGTTAGAGTTGTAACGAGCAGGGAAGTTTGGTGTGCTGAACGAATCTTGCATGCTCGTCATTTCTTTGCTGCATTCTACAAAAATAAAAAAATCACCACAATCAACAAGAATAATTTATGAAGCAAATTCAAAAGATATCAATGTTCTATCAACACTATCTGAAAGATTTTGTCTTGATTAAAATAACATAACCTTTTTTCGATCTTCTCAATTGAAATAGTTTATATCTCTCACTTTCTTTTCGCTAGATCACGAAATGCAATCCTATCGATCGCAAAGTTACTTCCAATCCCGACACGTCTTTGCCCATAAAGCTTTTCACTATGCTTTTAAAGTATGTATCATTTTTATTTTCTACATCAAAATTGGTATAAAATATAAAGTGCCCTTCCCGGCCCTGCCGCCCTCCTGTGCCACAGTTCCTATCGTTAAATCTACATGAAGACACATATGTGGCTTCATAACACATATTAAATGCATAATTCGTTTAAAAAACATATTTTATCATGTCGAAAATACTAACCATCCGTTTTAAAACGAACTGAAAATCCTTTCTTGACTTCAGGAGATTTATGATTCAACAATTGTGAATGTAGCCTAATGTATATACTTTCACCTAACACTGTGACGGGGTCAGGTTTTTCATTGCCACAAAGTTGAGTGAGATATTGTGATAAAAATCCTTTGCCATTTCTGATATCTAAGTAATCATTCTTGCATATCCCTGTTCCATCGTTTTTGCCCACAGAAAAATCATCAAAGCTCAAGGTTATAGAACTGCCGTTTGATTGGCCATTTGTAATGATCCATACACGGTCACGTGACACTGAATAAGGTAACGGATAATTCGGAGAATGAAAGCTTCCTGATTTCGCGAAAATTGTTCCTCCATTTTCTAAACGAAAAGAACAGGACGGTTGTAAAACAAGATGGTTGATACAAATTTAGGCAAAAATTGTCATTAGGAATCGTTGGGCGATCTCTCAAGTACCTTGCAAATTTACATCCCCTGTCCCTGATAGACTGGAATGAATGGAATGTCAATTGTCGAGACATTGGATCGTGGAGGTAATTTGTTCGAGGATTGCATTAATTTACCTATGAGTTCAATAGTTCATTGAAGACTTGTTGAGAGGGAGGTGTGAATTGCCGAGATGGTATTTACAAGGAATAAGATATGAAAGATAACCGGTCAATGACATTGTAAAACTCGAGGTAAAGGAGGACAAAGGACGTGAGAGACCATAGAAGAGATGAGTGGACCGCGTGAAGAGAGATCTAAATGTCAAGGTACTAACTGTTGACTTGACAAGATTATGAAAAAAATAAAGGCAAGAATCAGAGTGACCCCAGGAAGTCTGGGATAGGATCTGGATAAAAAGAAATAGTTACCATTAAATATATTACAGCGATACATGAGGTTCGTCTGAATGACATCTTGATTACTAAGGGCAAACGTATAACGTGAATAATATTGTTTTCCAAGTTCTTCTTTCTTTATCCCACGAAGTTTGGGTACTATTGTGTCCACACCACCTCTCTTGGCGAAGAAGTCCGAGCCATAATGCATTATACTGTGGAAATCATAGCGCTATAGAAAAGTGTAAATTCACTTAATATCTGCGTATACCAATAAATTCACTTAATATCTGCGTATACCAATATGAAAAAGAAAGCTACTTTCCGAGATTGCTTCTCGTAACTGGATTAAAGGCCCATTTCCACTCAAGAAAATTTTCCACGAACAAAAAATTTCCCGAAAATATAATTGTTAAAAGTTGAAAATTTTCAACTTCAAAATTTTTTTCCGACGGAAAATTTGTGTTGGCCAATTAATCACATTTTACAAATTTTTCAAGTGGAAATGGGCCTTAATTCATACAAATGGAATATTGAGCTGCTCATCAATTAAGTCATCACCTATTATACATTACGCAACTGATTCCCCATAGAGAGGTGCATGGTGGCATGGAGCTCGCTCAATTAGTCATAAACTATACGTTCTAGGGACTTGATTTATGGGCAAATCAATTTCCACATTCTTGGGTTTATTATAGTTGCAATTCTGGATATCCTTTGGCCACC